CATTTCTTTCTACCCCTCGTCCAGCTAGACTAGGTGGACCCCAGCCCCGCTCCTAGGGCCTGGTTACCACATTTCTTTCTACCCCTCGTCCAGCTGCTCCGGGACAAGTTCCGAGACTTCGCTCGGGAGACTGGGACGATCGGGCAGGAGCGGGTGGACAAGGTGAATGCCACAATCGAGAAGCTTATCGACGAGGGCCAAGGGGACCATGAGGATGCGGCCACCATCGCCGAGTGGAAGGACAGCCTGAACGAGATGTGGGCCGACCTGCTGGAACTCATTGACACGCGCATGCAGCTACTGGCCGCCTCCTACGACTTGCACCGATACTTCTACACGAGCACTGAGATCCTGGGCCTTATCGAGGAGAAGCACCGCGAGCTCCCTGAGGACGTGGGGCTGGACGCCAGCACGGCCGAGTCCTTCCACCGGGTGCACACTGCCTTTGAGCAGGAGCTCGGACAGCTGGGCAAGCAGGTGCCTGTCCCCATCATTGCCCCCTACAGGCTCTAGGCCACACAGCTTCCCCATGGCTGACTTAGTGTGAGGTGAGGCCGTGCCTGACACCCTCGGGGGCCCTACCTGACTTCAGCTTTTCCCCTAGATAGTGGCCCTCAGGGCACCCCACCACCTCAGAGAGGCATCAGCTCAGGGGAGCAAGGCAGGAAGCAGCTCTTTACCTTCTGGTCTTCAAACCTCTTCACCTTCTATTCTTCAAACAGAAACTTCACAAAAACCCAATGCTTTGCAAAATACATCAAACTTTGGTTTTTCTGCTTGTTCAACATTATTAGATATAGTATAAGTGAAGAGGGGTCTTCAAAAAGTATATGGGAAAATTCCATTATCTTCTCATTCCATTTAGCCATGAACTTTTTGAAGCCCCCTTTTATAGTACTTTTTTAGAGCCAGGTGCTGTAAGAAGAAATGTTATGTAGTCATTGATGCTTCATAGCCGTCCTCTGAGGTACTGCTAGAATCTGCACTTTATAGATGAGGAAAGTGAGGCAGAGAAAGGCTAATTTCCCCAAGATCAGTAGGGCTGGGATTCAAACCTTGGCAGTCTGGCTGTATATACATATAGTGCTGTTAACCACCAAGCGATTCACCTTTCATGTTAAAGCTTAGAGGGCCCCAAGATCTGCTGTTTAGATCTCTACCCCTAACACAATGGTGCTCCCGAGGCCCTCTGTGCTAGGAAACACACAGGCAAGGGCTCCCATGGCCCACTCACTGTGGAGTAGGGACAGGTTTAGGAATCAGCTGCTAAGGGAGAGTGGGGTCCTGGCTCACCCAGAAGGGGGACACCCTGGGGCAGATCCAGCTAGAGGTGGATCCTAGCTGTTGTGCCCTGGGTAGATGGGAGGGGACAGCTTTGATGTGCAGTGGGGGTGGGTACTGAGACCGTTTGGTGGGTCCCACCGAGGTCTCAGCCTCAAGAGCCTGGCTCAGGATCTGGGATTTCCTTTGTCCCTGGTGTCCACCTCAAACAGGGGTATTGGTCTTGTGCCATTCTTGGAGAGCTGGCATGATAATGGTCTAGAAGATGGACCTAGGAGCAGAGCCGAACCTAGGTATAGCCCCATACTAGTGTGAGTGCCCTTAGGCAAGGCATTGAATTTCCTGTGCCTCATTTCCCTCAAATGAAAAGCAGGGGTCATAACAGTCTTTCTGGAGTTTCTGAAGAGTTAATAAACATGAAGGGGGGGGGGGGCGCTTCAAGAAGGTCATGGAAAAGGTGAACTAAAAGGTAATGGAATTTCTCCATGAATTTTTTAAGCCCCCTCCCATAAAATATTCAGAATGTTGGTTGGTACATAGTTAACATTGTGTTCCTCTCTTCCAAATCCTTATCAGAGCTCAGCAATCTCCTTGGGTAGGCAGAGGTGCCAAGGCAAGGAGCCCTCTCCCACAGCAGCCCATGGGGGGTGACGGGAGCCTGCAGATTTGGCCTTTCAGCCGTGCCCTGGAGCGCCCTCTCCCATCCCAGGCCAGAGATGTCTCTGTCAGGGGAATAATGTCCATTTTGTGTGACCACAGGTACAGCAGTTCCAGGACGTGGCCACCTGCCTGCAGGCGAAGTACGCTGGGGAAAAGGCTGACACCATCCAGGACAAGGAACAGGAGGTGTCTGCTGCGTGGAAGGCACTTCTCGATGCCTGTGCTGGACGCCGAGACCAGCTGGTGGGCACAGCTGACAAATTCCGTTTCTTCAGCATGGTCCGGGACCTCCTCTCTTGGATGGAGAGTGTCATCCGGCAGATCGAGACGCAGGAGAGACCCAGGTGAGGGTTCTGTTCCTCCACCTACTTGTCCCAGAGGGAGGCAGCCTGATTAGGCTGCTCTAGAGGGTCAGTCCTGGCGGAGGCCTGAGGCCACTTCAGAGTGTGAGGGGTCCTGAGTGTGGTGAGAAGGACATCTGTCTTTCAGCTTCTACAAGGAGGGCAGTGACTATTGTTTTCAGTGACAGTCACACATCCCAACCTGTCAATGACAATTTCAAGATTGTCCACTCCTCCCCCAGCACTCAGGTGTGAGGACCCACTCCCCAAAAACTCAGGAAGAAGACTCATTGTTCATTGGAAGTGGGGTCAGTCACATGGGCAATGAGAGACCCAGTGGGATCCCAGCTTTCTCCACTGTGGTTTCCAGTTTAGTTTGTATCATTTTAGCAATTATGGCTACTCCTTCTTCATCCCTCTTTCCCACGGTGGCCTGTCCTGATGGTCTGACTTTTAAGATGTCTTTATTGAGCACAGTCCTGCTCGGACACACATGGGGTTGTGATGAATCAGAATCAACTTAATAACAACTGGTTAGTCTTCTTCCATAAATTAAAAAAAAAAAAAAAGACCTTTATTGAGACATAATTCACATACTATAAAATTCACCCATTTAAAGGATACCATTCAGTGGTCTTTAGTATATTCACAGAGTTGTGGAAACATCACCACCATGTAAGTTTCAAAGGTTTTCTTTGCCCCCAGATACCCTGTTACTCATCAGTAGTCCTCAGTCCCTCCTCCTCCTGCCCCTGGCAACCATCAGTCTACTTTCTGGATGTGTTATATCAGTGAGATCATACAATGTGACGTCTCATATCTAGCTTCTTTTACATTGTTATTGTTAAGTGCCATCGAATTGGTTCCAACTCATAGTGACCCTGTGTAGGGTTTCTACACAGGGTCAGCTGGTGGATTTCAGCTGCTGACTTTGTGGTTAGCAGTCCAGTGCTTATCCTACAGTGCCACACCAGGACTCATGTTTTCACGATTCATCCATGTTGTGGAACCTCATTCCTTTTTATAACCAAGTAATTATCCCCAGTCTTCTGCACCCCCACACCAATGGATGATACCAAGGCCTCTATGTTCCTGCTGGGCATGATGCCGGAGGGTTTTTGATGGCAAGAGAGGAGGCGACCAGTGGCCTCTGTCATCACGACTTGGCATCAGACAGGACGAGTGACTCTGACCTAGAGTGTTCTTCCTTAATCTCCATCCCCATCCTCCTGCCCCCCAGGGACGTCTCCTCTGTGGAACTGCTCATGAAGTACCACCAGAGCATCAAGGCAGAGATGAATACCCGGAGCAAGAACTTCAATGCCTGCCTGGAGCTCGGCGAATCTCTGCTGCAGCGGCAACACCAGGCTTCGGAGGAGGTAGGAGAGCTGACAGAGGCCCCTCTGTGTCTTTGCGCCCATCGTGGTTGCAGACGTGGTTTCTCTGAGGAGACTCTCTCTAATTCCACTTCTGGGGCCTTCGGGCTGCTCACAAGCCCAGGAATCAGAGCCATCCTAAACCTACTCCCTGCCTCAGGGAACTGGCTGCTTAGGAGGGGAGGGTAAGTTCATAAGCTACCAAATGCACACCTGTGTGCTTGCTTTGGATTGAAAACCTCATTTCATAGGAGGGGAGCAGGTACCACATACAGGCTAAGTAACTTACCCAAGGCTGTACAGCTGGCAAGTGGCAGGGCCAAGACTCAAACTCTGCCCGTGTGAGCAGGCCCAGCATGCTTGTCCATCCCATCTACATACAATCTAACAGGAGACAGTATACCCAAACCTCTGTTTTTCTCCCTCCCTGGCACAGATCAGAGAGAAACTGCGGCAGGTGGAGTCCAAGCGGGAGGAGATGAATGAGAAGTGGGAAACCCGCTCGGAGCAGCTGAGTATATGTGAGTGAGACCCTGGAGTAGGGAGGGGTTCTCACCACTGCCTCACTCTTCACAGAGCTCTGGGGTGGGGTCCTGGAGCATGCTCAGCTGGAAGCCCACGTCTGCCCAACAAGTGTGCTCCACTCCCTAGTTCCTCCTCCCCCCCAACCTCTGCAGAGCTGAGAACTGGGGAAGAGACAGAGTAACGCTTAGTGTATCCCAGATGTTTGATCTGAAGGGTGTCAGGCACAGAGAGGAACTCTGTCCTCCTACAGCCAGAGGCTGAGGAGAGGTGAAGAAAATCCCACAAATTTAGAGGGCCTGGACATTTACAGAGCCAGCCAAGAACGGGGGAGAACATACTCAGGCTCCTCAGTGGGCCCTTGATGGAGACAGGGATGGAGTGGCAGCAGGGAGTCCACATGGTTTAGGGCCACTTGGGCAGGCCTCCTGGGTCCCGGTCTGTGTGTGGGCCTGTTCTTGAGCTCCCAGGAAGAGCTGATGTTGAATAAATGCTAACCACAGTCCCCTGGGCCTTCCGGGTGGGTCTGGGGCTTGCTCTCCCGGCCAGTGCTGGAGGTGTGCCAGTTCTCTCGGGACGCGTCTGTGGCCGAAGCATGGCTGATCGCCCAGGAGCCCTACCTGGCTAGCAGGGACTTTGGCCACACGGTGGACAGCGTGGAGAAGCTCATGAAGAGGCACGCGGCATTTGAAAAATCCACAGCCAGTTGGGCAGAGCGCTTTGCAGCCCTGGAGAAGCCCACCATGGTGAGCAGGACATGGCTCAGGAGAGGGGACCTCAAGTCAAGAGCTCTTCACAGGCTATTTATTACATGTGGTGCTGTAGGATAAGCACTGGACTGCAAGGTCAGTTTGAACCGTAAGACCGGCGGTTCAAACTGTACAGGGTCGCTATGAGTCAGATTGGACTCAATAGTACTTAACAACAGTAGACAATGTATATAGCTTGACAAGTGAGAAGGGTGAAATCACATTAGCAAGTGCTGATCTTTGCAAAGTCCAAAAGGAGTTAGCTCAGAAAAGAGCAAACACAGTGTGTTGGGGGTGTTAGGGTGCAGGAAGCCATCTTGGAGACGGACTGCCTAAGAACAGAGTTTCTTCTTCCTTTGGCCCCTCTGACCCTCTGCATTTCCTTCCTAGCTTGAGCTAAAGGAACGTCAAACCCCAGAGAGACCCACAGAGGAGCCTGGGTAAGTGCTGGCTGGGCAGGCTGTGGGCTCCTTGTCCGTGTAGCCAGGAGCACTCCGTGAAGGAGGCTGGGTAGGGAGGAGGTGTGGTATTTTTAATAAGAATCAGCTGACTCTGCCTCCGCCCCCCCATGCTTAACAATATGAGGGAACTTCATATTGTTAAACTTCAAAATGTTTATGGGAAGATCCCATAATCTTTTTCCATGAACTTTCTGAAGCCCATTCATACACATTTGACTTCTCACTTCTGGGCCAGATGCCAGAGAAACCCATAGTGTCTGGAGCTTAAAGTCAGCGAGGAGTCTTTTATTTCCCCAAAATCTCCTGAGGCACCAACCAAAAGCAGTGACTGCTGCAGAATTAGCTCCCCCACCCTCTGGACACCGCCTTTACACGTGTCCGGGAGGCCGCTTTGCATGGAACCTTGCCCTTTTCTGAAGTTTTTGCCTCAACTTTTGATACAGCTGCAGCGGCTTCTTGCCGAGTACCATGCAGGCTTCCAGGAAGCCTGACAGGGAGACGTTGGACGCATGCTCCTTGGGGGTGAGGGTGGGAAACTGGGCTTGGAGGTAGGCTGGCCTCAGAGCAGTGCTTGTGGTTAAGAGGGATTGTGTCTTCCTTAGGGCTCACGAGGAGGAAGGCGAGACAGCCGGGGAGGCTCCCCGAGTTCCCCACCACGCAGCCACTGAGAGAACGTCCCCGGTCAGTTTCCTCTCCCATTTGTCTGGTTCCTGGGAGTCGCTGCTGCCAGAGCCCTCCCATCCCTACTAGGCTCAGCCAGGTGGAAGGCCAGGACGGTGCACCTGCCACACACCCCCATCTGGCCCCACCCTCTCCAGATTCAGGCTTCCATTTTTACTTAGGTTTTCTTAATTCTTAGAATAATTCTCTTCCTCCCTTCAACCCAGAAGAAACTGACATGCAAGCCCACTGACATGGCTCTTAGTTTGGTTTTATCTAGTTTAATAAATTTTATTATATAAATATGTCACCCTCTATATCAGGGGAAACCATTTGTATAGGGATGACTCATTTTTATACATTGTCCTTTTCCCCATTTTACTTCTAACTCTATCCTAACACAGTCCCTGCCCATATGCACACATACACTCTTACAGTTGCACAGATACAGTCTGGTCTTGCCTGTCCCATTAGGGGCATTGCAGACAGTGAAGTGTCCATTTTTTGACACATTCTTACAGACCTCCAGCAGACCCGTCCCCCTCCCTCGCACGCAAAACCCTCTTCTCTGCTCTCACCATCCTGGCCTGATGCCTCTGGGTCAGGGGGTTTGGAGAATGGAGCTGGTTTTGAGGCAAAAACAGACTTGCAGATATTATGAAGAACCCTAAACCTTTGAGGTTGTGGAGATCAGTCCCCCAGTTTGTAGGAAAAGAGGGTGTGTCAGCGTCCTGCCTGAGGGGAGAGAGGGAAGGGGTCTAAGAGAGACCTGGGGCCGATGCCTCCAGACCTTACCTAGAGTTGATTCCTTAGCTAAAAGGAGGTGGAACAGCCCAGAGCCCATGGTCTGTGCAGGGAGTTGGGGAAGCTGTAACCCAGTTTGAGGGAAAAACGCCCTGGGAAGGGGCTGCCTAGAAGAAAGCAGGAATTCAGCAGACGGCTTGCCCAGCATCTTCGCTGCATGTACCCCTGGCTGCATGTCACCCTGGGGCTCTTCAAGTGTGGGGAGGAGCAGGGCCTACATGGACTCCACCTTTCTGGGGGGCTGGCCTCAATCTACAAGTGGCGTTTAGGGAGATTGGTATTTTAAATGGAAATAGCTGGCACACCAACCACTCCAGAAAAATACACATTCACATAGCATCAGGTCCAGACTCCACCTTGTGAATCACACACACACACTGAGAGAGGCCCCTCCCTCTGAGCTGCACTGGCCCATCATGTCCAGCAGAGGGCACTGCTGGGCTCTCACTGGAGGGTCTCTCCCAGACGTTCTGCTGAAGCTTGCATCGTTGCACATGGGTGTGGCGCCTCCCTGTCTGTGGTGGACAGCGTCCCAGCCTCTTTTTCCCAGCAGCTGTCCCCGCCAGAAGCAACGTGAACTCTGGGGGCTAGCAGGGAATGCGGACAAGTGCTGGGCTGCCCCCCAGAGCCTCCCGGGCCCTGCCTGCGCTTCTGTATCCCCTCCCCCACTGTGTGTCTGTGTGCAATGGTGTCCCTGGTCTATGGATCCTTTTGCAGTCACCTGAGCAATTCCATCAGTTCTGTGTTGTGTACGTCCATACAAATGTAACAACATGTGCACCAGAGCTGCCTGAACTTCTCTGGGTTGGGGGAAATAAAGCCTGCTTGGACCCGAATGTCGCTCTGGGCAGAGGGTGTGAACCCACATTTAAGGCCCTTCCCAGGGAGCCAGCTACTCGACCAGATGGAAACACAGGCTTATGCCCGCTACCAGAAAGAAACCACATGTTGAATCAAATGAACACCAGGCTCTGGCCTGCTGGAAACAGATTTCCTGCTGTACTCCTTCCAAGCCCTGGCTGAGGGAGGTTCTGATGTCAGTCTGTCCTTGATATGAGACAAGGAAGTGGCTGGGCCCAGACAGGTCAAGGTGGGGAAGGCCTAGTGGGGCTTGCAGCCTCATCACAGAGTCATGGCTGCCTCCCAGCTGGCCAGCTGTTGCCGTGAATTCTCTTGGGGACAAGCCTGGGCTATGGGTGGCTCTTCTGCTGTTCCTTTGTGTGTGGTCTGGTGTTGGTGCCCCATAGAGTAGATACATGTGGTGTTGCTTCATGTATGAGCCATCACTAATGCATGCCAGCTTCCTGCTTGGGGGAACCGACGGGAGTGACCAGACATCCAAGCCCCATTCTGGATAGCTGCACACACGGCCAGCCCCACATGTCCATATGTGCATGCACATATGTGACGGGAGATGCCATTGAAGCATCCGTGTGATGTTCCTCAAGGATGTCACCGAACAAGCAATACTGCCTCTTACCTTTTCCCATTAGAGCACATTCTGACAGAAAAAGTCAGTCCATGTACAGGTAAGTGCACGTGAGGCCAAGCAGAAGACACACGCTGTCCCTCACAGAGACAGACAGGCCTCCTGGAGTGGAAGTCAGGATCTGAAGTCATTTTTCCTGCATAATCTTGGACAAACCACCTGATGTCCCTGGGCTGCCTCACCAATTAAAAGCCCTCACTGCAGACTTAGAGGAAGTCCAGGGCATTGACAAAGTATCCAGTTAAAAGGAGGGGCCCGTTTCCAATTCCCTTGTTCTTAGCTCTCAGGTGCCTCTGACTTGCCAGGTGCCAGCTGGTGTGAGGCTGGAGATGGGAAGGAGGGTGGCAAGGGCTAGATGTTTGGGGGATGAGAGGGAGGGTTGGGTCGCTGCTCAACTCCTCCAAGTCAGTGCCCTGAAGGTGGCCCTGGGTATAGAGGGGTTAGCAGCAGACTGAGCTACAGTGAACAGTCAGACCTTCCTAGAGCCTTGTACCTGGGCCCCTCACCCCCAGCACCCTTCACCTTATATGTCTTCCTTTCATCCCGGGTCTGTTGCTCTGGAAGGGGCTTGGTTGTCCTGCTGAGCATCACATTGCAGGCTCTGGGTGACTCCCAATTCCCAGTGTAACATGGTGGAGAGGTTGCTTTCATGGAGAAGATAAACTATGGGGCATGATTGGGGTCACTTCAGGCTAAAAAGCCCGCAGTCAAGAACTGGGCCATATTCCTATACACTGTGCCCCCTTCCTGGCTTTGGAAGCAGGACCTGCTCTGTGAACTTGCCCCCAACAGCACTGCCATACCACACGTATGAGGGATAACCCTGGAAGGGCTTGGTGCTTCTCAGGGCTGTGACAACAATTAAGAGTCTCCATCAGGGTGCATGGTTTGAGGCAAACATGCCCTGTCCTGTCTCCAAGCCCCATGGCTTGATCCAGCCTGGTGCAAGGGGCACCCTGAACTCGAGGCTACTCCAGGAAGCATTACCAGCCTGCCTTCATCACGTTGTCAGGGAAAACTCTTTCTCCCAGGGGCAATTCACAGAAACCACTCCTTCACCCAGCCCTCCAAGCCTGCCTGCAGCTGGTATCCCCGGAGAAAGGGCCTGGGTGCCTCCTTGGGGGAGTGGAGAGCCCTGGATTACTGGCCTCACCTTTCCAGTCGTAGAGACCTATGGTTTCACAGACGTCATCAGCACTTGCAAGTGTAGGGGGCAGTGCCCTGAGGACTTGTAGTCAGCACCACTTTTCAGCCCATGCCTGTTGGCTGTAGCTGCTGTTGCCCCCCAGCAATTCAGCCTAACAGCAGCCAGCCTCCCTGCACCCGCCCAAGAGCTTTCATCAATGGCTCTGACGTCCTTGGACAGAGTTGTGGGTGTGGAGGCAGCAGCTGTGTTTCTTGCCTGAACAAGCTTTCCCAGTCCTTTCCTCCTCCCCCATAAAGCCAAGCTGAGCTGCTCTTTAAGGATTTTGCAGTGAATGCAAATCTCTTGTTGGGTAAGAGCCGAACCACTCTGGAAAGAACATCAGTTTCCCTCTAACCTGGGCGGATCCTGTGTCCCCAGGATGCCTGAGTCAGCGTGGCAGGGGTGTGTCTGCCTACAGTCTGGCTTGCGCCTGGGCCTCTGGACTCTCCAGAGAAACCGCTGTAGGCTCTTTCTGGACATCTGCCCATGGCTGAATGTGCCCAGCTCTCTACCCTGCTCAGACATGACCCTTCCAGCTTCTCTCCTTTGGATACTCTTCCTAAATTCTTTCTTTCCCACCCTGTTTCCAAGATGTTGGAAGGCACAGGATGATACTCAGTTGACACTGGCGGCATCTCAGAAATGGGGCTTGAAGCTGAGGCCTTGGCCTTTGGGTGGGTAGACTCACCTGGATGGAGAGTGGGTTTATTGTAACTCTCTTAAGTCTCCCTAATGTTGAGTAGCTGGCTCAGGTCACCGAAGAGTCAAGCCGCCATTAACTCCTCCAGGGCAGAGACTTCAAGAAACCACACAGGTGAGAGAATGGTGACAACAACTTCTAAGGAAGCCACCTGCTCCTCTCACTGGTGATGGAGGTGGACCAGGGTCTGTCCTCCTCTTGTCACTTTCCTCTTCCTCTTCCTCTTCATTTCACATGACCTGCTGATCTTCTGCTCTGTGTCCCCCCCTGTCATCTTCCTCTGACTCTCCACATGTCATCCAGGTGGACCATTGGATGCTGGAGTGTGGGACTGAACCTTGGTCATCCCATTCCACTTGGGTTAGCCCCTCACTTGCAACTGACCCCAATCCAGGCGATTCCTAACTGCCCACTCAAACCTCCACTCTTCTCTTGTTCTTTCCTCCAGTTCAACAAAAGTGTCTTTGTCCTGGTGTTAGACATGTGTCTGTGCTCACCTAGTACCATCTTCATCTTTGTGGCTTCTCTCAACAAACCATCTGCTTTTTTTCACTTCTCTTCCATCAGCCTTCTAAACAACCTTCCCAACCATGACAGCCATCTCATCCACAGGAAAAAAGTTGACACATTGTGGGAGAGGTTCAAGTTCCTAGTCACAAGAGAAGGGGGTTTCTCCTTCCCCAGAACCCTTTGGGGCCATGTGGTTGTCTAAAGTGTCTAGCAGTAGGTGTTGCCTGGCTCCTTCCAGTATGGTTTGGACGTGATCATACTGCCCTTAACCTCATGTTTTCCAAAAACTGGAGTCATCTTGTTTTGACTGTGAGCCCCTTGGAAAGATGCTT